TTCTACAATTGGTATTTTCTCCATAAAAGTGAGAGGATCAGAAATGTGTCTGCGTAGGTATACTCCAGGTGCTCCGATTTACTCTGCCACTAACAACATGTACAATGGGACTAAAGGATGGGAACTTGTCCTGGGAGTATTTCCATGTATTTGGCTGTTCATTAATACACACTGTCCCATTCAAATAAATAAAACTAATTATCAAGTGACATCCAACACTTCCATTGCCAAGACTGTACAAAGAGCAAAGTACACAGAGACAAGGTTCTGCTCATTTATTGTCAAATCAGTGAAAAACATCAGAATAATACCAACTATGTCCGACAGTGTCTTGCGTTGAACAGGATTAGCTTAGCATCAGGCTAACTTGAGACATACATTTCTCCACACTTTGGTCTTTGTTTGCTTCGTGCATAAACAAGAACGATGTCGGAGTTTACTTTTGTGTTAAAATGTCCTTGTTGTGTGTGTTACCTTCTTCCAGAGGCTCTAATGGGGTTCCGTAAGACACGAAATCATCTCTATCGTTGTCACCGTCCCCCGCCATGTTTGTTTCTTACATATACGGAAGCCGCAGAGGACCAAAACTGGGAAAATCCAAACATGGAATACTTCAGTGAGATCATAACCCTGGTTACTTTATTCACAAAGCGCCCTTCACACACCACATTCACAAAGCACTTTACAATTGTTCGGGGAGTTTCATCAACCTTTATTTGTGGGTTAGGGTTCGAGTTAGGGTTCCTACCATAGACTGTAGTTCCTACACAAGGCAACACAGTTTTTCACAGTCACGATCATATAAGGCATTCAATTATGAACATTAAAATCGCACAGAGCATTAAAACGCAAAAGTACACGACCTAAAACAAATCACACAGTGTATTAAAAACAAACATTAAACATTAAAATCACAAGGGATTAAGATAATTAATTAAAAAACACAGTGCATTAAAAATGTATTCTGGCTTTAAAATGTGTGTTAAATAGCCTTTTACGCTGGTGTTTGTGTGATGGTGTCTCATGTAAATCCAGATAGGAGGAGACGTGACACGTGCGTACTGACATCTAGCGGTGACTATGGGGAATGCATTATACTGTCCTGCATTGAACAGGGAAGTGAAAGTTCTTTTTACTTTTTGCATTGGAAAATTGGCCTATTAACCTGTGTAGCTGTAAAAAATAAAGTACAACGTTAAATCTTCGGAAATTGGCTTAGGACAAGACAGTAAGACATGTGTAAGTGAGTGAAAAATGACTCGTCTAAATCTCTGAGCGTCAAAAAAAGCGCTATTTACAGTTTTTCTCAGTGGCTTTGGTGCATTTCTCACATCAGACTTAAAATTCTCAAAACTATTAGTTCAACCTCCACAACATTGGCTCATTGGTGCACATTATCACGGCAGTTTCTCATTCCTCTGAACACATTTTAAATGCTTTCGTTCATGTATCAATAACTTTCATATAATTCTCTGCGTTTTTTCAACATCATCATTTGCTTCTGTCCTGTCAGTCAGAATGAAACATACTTAAACTATTTTAACACATAAAAAACTGAAAAGTGGGGCGTGCAATATTATTGGGCCCCCTTGCGCTAATACTTTGTAGCGCCACCTTTTGCTGCAATTACAGCTGCAAGTCGCTTGGGGTATGTCTCTATCAGTTTTGCACATCGAGAGACTGGAATTCTTTCCCATTCTTCCTTGCAAAACAGCTCGAGCTCAGTGAGGTTGGATGGAGAGCGTTTGTGAACAGCAGTCTTCAGCTCTTTCCGCAGATTCTCGATTGGATTCAGGTCTGGACTTTGACTTGGCCATTCTAACACCTGGATACGTCTATTTGTGAACCATTCCATTGTAGATTTGGCTTTATGTTTTGGATCATTGTCCTGTTGGAAGATAAATCTCCGTCCCAGTCTCAGCTCTTTTGCAGACTCCAACAGGTTTTCTTCCAGAATGGTCCTGTATTTGGCTCCATCCATCTTCCCATCAATTTTATCCATCTTCCCTGTCCCTGCTGAAGAAAAGCAGGCCCAAACCATGATGCTGCCACCACCATGTTTGACAGTGGGGATGGTGTGTTCAGGGTGATGAGCTGTGTTGCTTTTACGCCAAACATATCGTTTTGCATTGTGGCCAAAAAGTTCGATTTTGGTTTCATCTGACCAGAGCACCTTCTTCCACATGTTTGGTGTGTCTCCCAGGTGGCTTGTGGCAAACTTTAAACCAGACTTTTTATGGATGTCTTTGAGAAATGGCTTTCTTCTTGCCACTCTTCCATAAAGGCCAGATTTGTGCAGTGCACGACTGATTGTTGTCCTATGGACAGACTCTCCCACCTCAGCTGTAGTTATCTGCAGTTCATCCAGAGTGATCATGGGCCTCTTGGCTGCATCTCTGATCAGTCTTCTCCTTGTTTGAGATGAAAGTTTGGAGGGACGGCCGGGTCTTGGTAGATTTGCAGTGGTCTGATACTCCTTCCATTTCAATATAATTGCTTGCACAGTGCTCCTTGAGATGTTTAAAGCTTGGTAAATCTTTTTGTATCCAAATCCGGCTTTAAACTTCTCCACAACAGTATCTCGGACCTGCCTGGTGTGTTCCTTTGTCTTCATGGTTCTCTCTGCGCTTTAAACAGAACCCTGAGACTATCAAAGAGCAGGTGCATTTATACGGAGACTTGATTACACACAGGTGCATTTTATTTATCATCATCAGTCATTTAGGACAACATTGGATCCTTCAAAGATCCTCACTGAACTTCTGGAGTGAGTTTGCTGCACTGAAAGTAAAGGGTCCGAATAATATTGCACGCTCCACTTTTCAGTTTTTTAATTGTTAAAAAAGTTTAAATTATCTAATAAATTTCGTTCCACTTCACGATTGTGTCCCACTTGTTGTTGATTCATGACAAAACATTAACATTTTATATCTTTATGTTTGAAGCCTGTAATGTGGCTAAATGTTGAAAGGTTCAAGGGGGCCGAATACTTTGTATATGTTACAGAATGTCAGTTTCGTCTCTAAATACAGTCTTTGTGTAACTTTACTGTAGCTTTTACTGTAAATGGCCGTACAGGGTGTGTATAGTGTCTTTTTTACACTGAAAACACAGAGAGAGTAAACTCTCACAATGAAAACATGACTAAGTCATTTGACTGTTGTTCATAATCAATGTTGTTAGAACATATTATTTTGACAACGAAGACAGTTTCAGTGACGTTTGGACTTGCTTTTGAGGAAAAAACTTTTCATTTTGAGAAAGTGACGCACTTTTGCAGGTTATCCACGAGGTTCTGCAGTTTGCACTAATTGTTCTGAGAAATGCACCAACAGTTGTGCAAATGTGAAGAATGATGTGAGAAATGCATTAAAGCGACTGAGAAAAACTATAAAACCATAGACTGTAAACCAATGCATTTTCATTATTATTATTATTGAACTATGATAAACAAATATTTTAGATCAAGTAAGATAAGCTGTGAGGCCGAGCTTGTAGTTTACAAGTCACTGATTTCAAGGCCAATAGTAGTCGTAGTAGTAGTAGTAGTAGTAGTAGTAGTAGTAGTAGTTGTAGTAGTAGTTGTTGTAGTAGTAGTTGTAGTAGTAGTAGTAGTTGTAGCAGTGGCCAGTAGGAGGCTCCCTTAGACCATAGATCCACGAAAGTGCAGCAGCTCTAACAGTTTATTTTTCTGAAGTGAATTTGAAAAAAGTCTTTAAGAAATTGTGGAAATAAAGTGACAGGATTTTATTTCAATAATTCAGAAATGTTTAACCTCAATTTCAGAATACATTGTTGTGATGCAAATCAAGACAGGTATGTAATTACATAATATCTCTAAATGAATCTAAAATCTATGTCATGGATTTCATTCACGAGAATAAGGCTGTTTGTTCTATCATTATAAAGGTAAAGGTGCTCGAAGGGAAATTCGTCCTCTGCATTTGACCCATCCTGATGCCACTTTCGTCAAGAGCAGTGGTCGCCGTACAGCGCCCAGGGACCCATTTCCAGATGTTGATGCTCAGCTTCGTCAGGTCTACAAGAGCTGGAGGATTTTACTTATTGTGTGTGTTTTTATTGGTTGAGGAAACCTACGCAGGCACGGAGAGAACAAGCAAACTCCACTCCCTGTTCCGACGGGGATTCAAACCCCAACCTTCTTGCTGAGAAGCTAGAGTGCTATCCACTCAGGCACCGTACCACACAAATGTTACAGTCTTTGAAGAGTAGATCTTGTGCTTTTGGTTTGTAGTAAACTTAACAAGACATAGATAGAGATACATATTAAACATATATAGAGTATTGTATTAAAGACTCAAAAACACAGCTCAAAAGTCTTGTGTTTCACAAAAGTTTTGTGAAAACCAGACAGACTGAAATAATTTTAATGAAATAACTGTTTGCACCTCCTGCTGACAGGAGGTGCAGCTCATTAATAACAGTACCATCACATTAGTCCTGGTCTCAGGTCTCTGCACCAGCTTCCTGTGGCTCAGAGAATAGACTTTAAAGGTGCTCTGTTTGTTACAAGTCTCTTGGCCTCGCACCAAAGTAA